TGCAGTGTTTCTCTTACAGCAGCACCACACCAGGACTCTAAGTTTAGAGGATAAGTATCTGCCAGATGTCAGGCATTCAGTAGGTTTTAAAGGGAATTTCTTGGGGCAGTCCAAAGGTAAAGATTTCTGTGTCTAGTCTGGCCCAGATATGGTAGGATGACTCCACCTTCAAGGGTCTCTGAGAACTGGGCACTGCACAGGTCAACAGTTACTGATGCAACTCCCCTGATGTTCTAAACTTTATCAAACTGCCATGATCAATGTACAACCAGAAGTGGAGGGAATTCAATAATAACTGATAGTAAATTTCCCACTTACCTTGCCAGAGCTCAGAGCAGATCCAAACTTGATTTGGAGAAAAAGACGAAAAGTAACATTTCTTGAACCCAGTGTTATGGTGAATGCAAACTCATACCTGATATGTCTGCATATGTTCACACCGGTAAAGTTTTACAGAAGGGCCTTTTTTTTCTGTTTGGTTTTTGAGGAGGTAGACTATAAAATCCCCAACTTCACCCTTACCAGGGGCAGTGATAGGGATGGACAGAATTCCCTCACTGGATAGGCTTCCTTTGGAGATAACCATACTCCAGAGTTTGGAAGATTCGAGAATCTATTTAAACCATGGAAAACATCCCAATAACTGCCTTTGGGTCAGGTCAGGTGCAGAGTGTGGGCTTTGAGTCTGACAGTTTTAGGACCAAATCCCAGTTCTGCTGTTTACAGTTGTTTGGCCTTGAGCCAATTACTTTTCTGAGCTTCAGTTTCCTCAGTGAGCATAAACTAAAAATAACCCAAACCAGTTGCTGTTGAGTCAATTTCAACTCATGGCAACTTCACATGTTTCAGAGTAGAACTGAAATCCACGGGGTTTTTAATGGCTGTGATCTTTAGGAAGCAGACTGCTCGGCCTTTCTTCCAAGGTGACTTTAAGTAGATTTGAACTGCCAACTTGTCAGTCAGTAGCCAAACACTGAACTGTATGTACCTCCCAGGGACTTTTCATTGACCTCATGAGTGTGGTTTCGAGATTAGAAGAGACTGCCTATATAACACTCTGCTTAATGCCCAGGTCTATACAGGGTGGTGGTTGTTATTACTTTAGTTCCACCTGGAAAGCCTCGACTAGGGAAGAGGTTTTAGCCCTGCTGCCTTTCTCGGAATCCCCTACTTTGACACTGACAGGAAGGCTATAAGATGTTTTCATTCCGCTTGGCACAGACCCATTAGGGCTGCTAGCAAAACTGGATTGGTCATTAGGTGTCAAGTCCAATTTCTGCCCAGATACAGGGGGTAAAATATGATCAAGAGTCTCCTGAACTGCACTGCGGCAATCCCAAGTTGCCAGTGCTAACCTTCTCCATGATATAAATGCTATCAGCCTGCCTTAGTGCATTTAAAACCACCAGCTTCCAATTATCCTCCGGCAGAGCTAGAAACGCTTCCTTTTTCAAAGATGCAAAGTGATCACAATCATCTTTTCATATTGCCACCCTTTCTATTGATTTTCATATTAACATAGCCAAGAGGGGGCTCTGTAAGAACTTAGGTTCAGAATCATTTCTGCTGCATATTGTTAGCTATTTCCTCCTTATGGAAAACAGAGATCACTAATATTGTTGACAAAAAAAAAGAAAAGAACTACCTTTAATGTTGTTCTAGTTTGACAGCCTATCTCTCCACTGTATTATTTTTCAGTGCTTTCCAATTTTGAGGTGGCCTCATTTAAGAAATGTATGATGCTGGTGGTTTTGATTAGCTATAAGGGCTCTTTGTGGACTTGTGCCCTCAGGATTAAAAGGGAATGGGTGTGGGTAGAAGACATGACCAGAGGCTGCAAAACTCAACTCCAAATGCCTTGGTGGTTTATCCTCGTTAGGACACATGGGGAAGGGTGGGGCCTGCGACTTACGGGTCGCGGCAGGCTGTACTGGTACATTTCAGGTCGGTAGGTGGGCACCCACTGCACTCCTGCCCTGGGCCGAGTCATGGTTCCAGGAGCACTGGTCACCACCTCCGAGTAGGGCAGGTGCTGTGCCGAGCCATAGGTCTCCTGGTGCCGATTCTGACCCCCGTGGCCCGCGGACGCCAAGCTGAAGGCCTCTTCTAGCAGCATGTGCATCTGTTGTCGGACCTCGTCGATGGAGGGCTGAGAGCTCAGTGTGGAGGTCTCCGAGTGGCCTTTCACCTGCCGTGACCTGCTATAGCCCCGGGGTTCGTTAACTCTGTCAATGTTAGTTTCCTCTATGATTTCCGGTTCCGTCTGTGGGATCAAACAAAAAGCCCATTGATTGGTCAGTAGCTTTCCTTCTCACAAATGTTGTCTGTGATTTATTCGACAATGTTTGCCAGTGATAATGTTGATATTATGCATCTGTGCTCATTTAAGTGGTCTATTGTTAAGTTCAGTCCTGTCCTGTTTAGGACCTCGCTCTGCAGGGATGTCAGCCAGTACATTAATAAGGCTGTATGTACTCCGACTATCAGTACTTGTGTGATCCAGAGCTCGATCTACGCCACAGGCTTTGCTATTTAGCATAATGATCATGAGAAATGGATTCTCATTGCTTGCATTATTAGCTTCCTCTAAAACCTCTTAGAGGTCATCCCCACCTCATGTCTTTTGGATATAAGCATTTAAACTCCTGTAGTGTATTCCTAGAGGGATGACGGCCCCCTGGACCAACTCTGTCCTGCCCCCAGTTAGGGAATGCTGATTGTCTGATACTAGGTATCAAAAAGAGTAACAAAGTCCTTCACTGTTCTCAAATTATGATGCTCCCCAGACTGAGTCCAGCACTCTGGGACAGGCACAGTGAACTGTACTCTAACAAGTCCTTCCCATAGCTGTGATGTCCACTCAAGTGTGAGACCCACTGCTCTAGAATATTCTCCTGCCTTCCTCCAGTGAGCAGCTCATACAGAGAGTAGTTGCAACACCTAAATGGGCAGAGAGCTGGGATTCTCGTCTGTTCATGGATGCTTGCTAGTGTCTGTATGAGTGACAGATTATGATATGAAACAGTGGGGGAGCAGTTAGTTCACATTCAATTCTAATACTCACATTTCCGTGGCAACCATTGTCTGCTAAAGGAACCTGCGAGTTCTGCATAAATAGACTGGTTTAGGTCAGTTGGCCAACTCACTTCCTATCTATTACATGAGTAATAATACAGTCATCTTTTAAAAAATTAGAAGATACAGATAAACAGGAGAAAAAAAAAAGTTCCTGATGGTGCATTGGTTAAGCGCTTGGCTGCAAATTGGATGGTTGGCAGTTCAAACCTACCAGCACCCCATCAGCAGCTCTCTTAAGAGAAAGATGTGTCAGTCTGCTTCTGTAAAAATGCACAGTCTTGGAAACCAAATAAGGCAGTTCTATTCTGTCCTATAGAGTCCTGGTGTGGCACTGTTGGTTAATGCACCAGACTGCAAAGCCATTTGAACTGCAAGGTCGGTGGTTCAAGCTCACCAGCTGCTCCTCGGAAACCCTAGACAGGGTCGCTATGGGTTGGAACCGACTCGATGGCACTTAACAACAATACTAACATTCTGTCCTGCAGAGTCACTATGATTTAGAATAAACTCGATGGCAATGAGTTTTTTTTGACTACCATAAATGATTTCACTTTTACTTTTTAAAATTAAGGTGTACTTATCTCCACTCCCAATCCTATCTGCGTATGTATGTGTGTGTACACATCCATTCAAAATGCTTTATGCTTTCAGATCTTGATTCTGGTTGCTCATTATAATTTGCATAGATATTCTCCTACTTAGGTTCCATCACTTAGTCATGGGCAATGTCACAGCTTGCTGTTATTAAGTGCCGTCAAGTCAGTTCTGACCTATAGCGAACCTGTAAAGGGTTTCCAAGGAGCAGCTGGTAGGTTTGAACCGCCAACCTTGTGGTTCAAACTGACCTTGCAGTTCAGTGCATTATCCCATAGTGCCACACCAGGAACAAACTCAAGACAAAAGGCAAATAATTTAATTTGCAAAATATTCCCAGGGTATAAGAGTGAGGTCTAGCATGAGTAAATGGGAGGAGGAAGCAAAGTAGTGATGCTGCGGAGCACGGAGGAGCAATCCACCTCAGAAAGGCTGCTCCAGAGAACCCCATTGTATTGTGAGGTTGTCATTGTGGCAGATGGGCTGAAATGGACCCACCAGTTGTTCCACATAACAATGGCAGAGAAGCTTCAGGGCAAAAAGCAAGAGCGATGGGACGTAGATGGGACTGCTAAGCCCACAGGTTGCAGCTGAGCTGGGTGGGTTGCCATAGCAATGGTTAGACCTAGAAGATGAAAGACAGTGTATAAACCATGTTCCAGTGAGGAAAGTTAACATAATGTTTCTGTGTCAGTTTCCTCATCTGTAATATGAGAATAATAGAACTTGCCTCAAAAGGTTTTATATGAATTATAACAGGCAATGCATTTAAAAATGCATTCTACCATGGAACAGTAGCACATGGTAGAAACAATAATAGTTGCTGTTATCATCGTAATTGTCATTAACATTACTTTTACTCATTCAACTGCACACATTTTTCATCTAATTACAATGTCTAAAGCACTGGGATCAAATAGCCAATACGCATTCTGTCCCAGGTATGCCTCAAGTCTGTTACTGTTGTGTGTGCCCTTGAGTCAGTTCCTACTCATCTGTAATGGTCTCCTCAGGAATCAAATATGACCTGTGTAGGGTTTTGGAAAGCAGCTGGTGGGTTTGAACTGATGATCTTGTGGTTAGTAGTCAGGTGCTTATCCTACAGTACTACACCAGGACTCCAGTCTACTGTCTTTTAAATGGTAATGGGCATGGCGCTGTATGATAAACACTAGACCATCAGGTGAATTTGAACCACAGGTTGCCATTTCAAACTCATCAGCTGCTCTTCAGAAGCCCTATACAGGGTCCCTATGAGTCAGAACCAACTCAGTGGAACTTAACAACAATTTCTGAAAGACATTTTTTACACAATGGATAGTATGTTCTGAAACTGACTGTCAGAGCCTGAGGGATTTAAGACACCCTTTGATTCCTCAGGAGACCATTACTGATGAGGAGGTGGAGGCCAGAGAGGCTAAGCAGGCAGTTTGCTGTCCCTGCACCTGCCCCATGTGCATCCAGCAGCACAAGGTTGTCTCTTCCATTTCATCATCAATGCCGGTTGCTACCCACATTGCCCTTCCTCCCTATATCCAGAGTCTCCCTAATAAATAATGAATGCTTAATGCTAAACTACTGCCAGATGAAAGATTAATGTCACTGGGGAAAGCTGAACTATAATTTTTCCCACCCTTGAGCTGCGCTGTGCATTTCAGTTACACTGGAGGAGCTATTATTGTTGGATTTATAGTTGTGCATTAACAATGGTGAAAGTACACTCCTTAGCAACATCTCCCTTCTTTTCCACTTCCCCAGGAGCCCTGCAATGGGGCTGTAATGGAGCAGCTCTCTGAGGAAGGCTGGTAAGGAGAGGGGTGACCTTTGCTGGGGAGGTTGGGACATTTTCTCCAGTTTCATGTTTCAGGGATTCCATAGTTCCCATTGTCATTCCAGTTCTGTTGTCAATGGGTCACCATGTATTGGGGCTGGCTTTATGGCAACTAATTGCGCTGCCATCTGCCTGATGACTTCCCAAGGGAAACTAACCTCTGCTTCTCTCCAGAGGTTTCCATACCCCTTGAGGGTTTCCCTTCAACTGTAGGGCCAAGAGTCTTAGATCAAGTTAGACCCTGACAGGTTTGCATAAGTCTTCTGCTAAAGAACTCTCCTTTTCCTATAATTCTCACATGTTTTTTCAGTCTTCTGATATATACAAGGAGAAACAAGACGAGCTTTCCATATGTACTGGGACTCCCCTCATCACACTTGTACTTACTTACACAATGTCTGTCTTGCTCACGATGGGAAATTCCCTGACCACATCTTACCTCAGTCTCCCATGAACCTAATATAAGGCTCTTGGCACTCTAAGTTTATAATATAGAACTGAAATTAAAAGTCTGTCCAATTGTCATAGGATAGAATTTGAGGTAAGGAAAAAAGCCCACATCTTTGTATGAAGAGACTCTGAAACTTGCACTCCAGCATAGAGTAGTTAAAACAAATTGAAAAAAATGAGGAAGTAAAAGAGTTGAATAGGAAATTTCCAAGGGCAGTTAGAGAAGACAAAGACAAATATTATAATGAAATGTGCTAAAATCTGGAATTAGAAAACCAAAAGGGAAGAACACACTCAGCATTTTGCTGAAAGAACTGAAGAAAAAGTTCAAGCCTCATCTTAAAGGATTTTATGGGCAATTATTGAATGATGCAGAAAGCATCAAAAGAAGATGGAAGGAATACACAGAGTCACTGTACCAAAAGGAAATGGTCAGTGTTCAACCATTTCAAGAGGTAGCATATGATCATGAGCCAATGGTATTGAAGGAGGATTGAAGGCATTGGCATAAAAGGTGCTCCAGGGATTGATGGAATACAACTTGAAATATTTCAACAAGTTGATCTAGTACTGAAGGAGTTCACTCCATTTATGCTAAGAAATTTGAAAGACCTGGCCAAATGACTGCAAGAGATCTATATTTGTGTCCATAGTAAAGAGAGGTATATTGCAGAAATCATCGAACAATATCATTAATATCACATGCAAGTAAAAATTTTCTGAAGATAATTAATGCAACAGTACATCGATAGGGAATTCCAGAAATTCAAGCTGGATTCAGAAAAGGACATTGCTGACGTCAGATGGACCTTGGCTGAAAGCAGAGAATAACAGAGAGATGTTTACCTGTGTTTTATTAAGTATGCAAAGGTTTTCAACTGTGTAGCTCATAACAAGCTATGGATACCATTTTGAAAAGTGGATATTCCAGAGCATTTAATTGTGCTCATGAGGAACCTGTACATAGAACAAGAGGCAGTTAGAATAGAACAAGAGGATAGTGAATGGTTTAAAATCAGGAAAGGTGTGACCAGGGTCACATTGTTTCATCATACTTGTTCAATCTGTATGCTGAGCAATTAATCTGAGAAGCTATATTATACAAAGAAGAGCATAGCATCAGTATTGGAGGAAAATTCATTAACCTATAGTACGCATATGATACAACTTACTTGCTGAAAGAGAAGAAGACTTAAAATTCTTACTTATTAAGGTCAAAAACCACAGTCTTCAGTATGGGTTGCACCTCACTGTAAAGAAAACAAAATTCCTTACTACTAGAACAATAAACAACATCATGTGAAATGTGG